GATGAGGTATCTGATGGAAACAATTTTACTGCCTAACAAAATATGCTGTTGTGCCTATTGAAAACAGATTCACCAGTGCCAAGAACAAGTTCAGAAATACAGAGAGCAGTCCTACCATGAAAAGTGAATGGATTTATGACCAGCCAAGACCAGTTAATAATGGATTTAATAAAGAATATGAATATATGGCATCAATAAGAATGACACTGGAATGAAAAGGATGTGAAAAAGGTGTATGCAGTTGTAATCAAGATATGAGCATGTGTGGTACTATTTCTACCAAGGTAGAAAAGAAATATACAAACAAATCTCTCTATTAACCAGGAATGTTTTTTCCATGTATTTATTTCAAGTTAAAGAACTTCTCATTCCACACACCGACAATGAGCATTAATGTATGTAACTATCATTAGAATACTGAGAAAACTAAAGGCATTCAAACCTCTTGTCAGCGCAAGCATATCTGACCATATATACTGGGGATTTTCCTACTTCAAACACAAGCACACAGTTATAATTTTGTTCTTATCCAGTTTAGGGCAGCTTCTTTGCTTTAAAAATGCAGTTCTGTAAAACAATATCTGTCTACCCACTACAATGACATATTGTCAGAGAGGAATTCCTCACATGCTCCCAGGGCACTGTGTGACATTATCTTTAACTCTTTTCACATCTCCCACATTKACAAATCCCTGCAACTCCTTCTACTCTTAGCTATTTAGCCAGCTATGCCATCTTGTAATGCACATTTTCATTCCAACATAATGAAAATATGGAACGTTCTTTTACAAGTCATAACTTCTATGKTTTTTTAAGAAATAATAATTACCAAAATAATCTTGACCAGTAGATCGGCTACTTTACTGCTATAGGACTTAAATTTATGGTTTATGTGCCATATCTTGGACTATAATGAAAATTATTTGGATTAAAAATGTGTATTTTAAATTTGTCTTAAAGTGCTTAGAATAGTTGTGGAATCTAAGTAAATAAGAATACAACTAAGCTTCATAGAAAGATGATAATTTGCATAGTACTTGAGGAAATGCAACCTTGGCATAGGTATGTATGTGTGACTTGAAGAAAATGARTATTTTTCACCAGCAAATACTGCAAGCTGAATACAGTGTTTCAAAGTTGCTTACAATTGTAAATATGTGAAAGCAAAGTTCGAAGAATAACATGAGAGGCTATAGCCTTATGTTTATTTGTGCAGTCAGAACCAGACATACATTGCCCACTGGATTCAACTTTGACCTCATCAGTAGCCTTCTCTTCTGAAATCCTTCCTTTCTGCTTCAGTAAGGATGTCAAATAATTTAAATAAATTTATCTAAGCGTTTGTTTCCTTTTGGTGAAAGTGCTGGCTACTGCACTTAGACAAAGTGAAATGTGACTTACAGAGAAATATATTGACTGTGTTTGAGCATTGGGATAGGGAAGATCAGTCATGAACTATCTTTTTAAAAATTATTATTCTTATTATTTGGACATTGAGAATTAAATAATGGTCTTCCTTCCTTCTCTGCCTAAATTGGGAACTGATCATCTGCAGTCATACATATTTAGGTTTCCAGAGTCAATAAATCAAACTTTAATTGTGGATGTAAATATGTAGTTCATTTCTCTTCCAGCAAAACTATCTCTTCAGAAGCACTTCAGATTTCCTATTTTGAGACTTTCAAAAATAAAATCCTTATTTTGCATATAATACACATCTAACTCTTAATTTTAAAGGTAAAATTATAAATTGGATTAAATATTAAGGGGCTAAATACATGGAATGTTTATATATTTAACACACAGCTTTAAGGACAGGTATGTAAACATTCCATTATTTTAGATGTGAGGTGTGAAGTCCATCTGAGCCACTGATGCAGCTCTTTGAAGAAAAGAACTGAAGGCAGCAGCCACTGAACCAAAGTCACCTCCAAGTACACGAAGCACAAAGAGGTCACTGCCTTCAGCAAAGCCTTTCAGCTCTGACATTTTGGTAAAATATGACAAGAGTTCATAATCTAGCAGCCACAAATAGAAGGTGCATTTAAAAAGCACCAAATTCAGACAACTCATATACTTAAATTGGGCTYTCTTCCTTCCACTTGACAACTCTGCCTCCAGTTCAGACCAATGGCCCCTCAAATGAAGGTCAGTGCRATTTCTGCAATTTTTCACATGCTTCTGAGAAACAGCTGAAAGTTGCTTCTAAAGAAGTTGGACATAAACTTCCACTATGAAAGGTTAAAAATTCAGAAAGTTCTGGGGAAATGAAAAAAGATATAACATGTTCTATCATTGAACACCAAGAACACAAAAGATGTCATTTCTTACATTCCAGTCAGTAATGTCATGGATTTTTATGGAACCCTATCACAGAATGAAACATCAGGACTGAATTCAGAATGAGATTAGAACACAAATAATTCCTAATATTATATGTGTGAAATATCCTTTTCTGATTTTGTGTTTTTGGTTTTTGTTTTTTTTTCTTTCACACATTGTAGTGTTAAGGACATTACTTTCATATGAAATATAATTTGACTATAGTAAGTCAAAGAATCACAGAACCATTGATTAGAGGCCACTTCTGCAGATCATGTATACCAACACTCAAAATAGAGAAGGTTAGCCAGGACCTTGTCCAGATGCTTTTGAATTATCTCCAAGGAAGACTTTCCTGACATTCTGGTGGACCTTCTTGTGTTTCACATTGTGCCCATTACCTCTGATCCTGTCCCTGGGCACCAYTGAACAGAGCCTGGCTCTGTCATCTGCAGGTATTTAAACAAATTAACAACATCCTCCTGATCCTTGTCCAGGACATACAACCACAGCTCTTTTTGTGGTCCTTCAGTTCCCCCTTAGGATCTTCTGCACAAAGCAGATGCAGAACTTACCTGTTTCTTTGGTGAACCTGAGAGATGCTCTTCAGCCCAATTCTCTATTCTGCCCAGGCCCTCCAGACCATGTCTATATCTTCAGTTACTAAAGACTTAAAACAAGAACCTCAAGTTCATGACCCAATATATGAAGAATGGAACCTCAGGCCTCAGGGAGCTGGAGACAGAACTGCTGATAATTTTTGTAGGTCTCAAGTTTACCTTCGAATCACTTAAATACATAGTCTGATAAGAAACATGCAGGTAAGCTAAAGGAAAATAGTAATTGAAACAGTAACTTCCAATAACTGGTATTAAGGATTATTTAACACACCCTCAGCCAGACTTTAACAGTAATTGCAGATTTCAAGATGCATTCTGTATAAATGCATTTAGAGTGTAGAAAACTGGATGGAAACCATTTCTTTGGCCCAGAAAAAATATAATAAACATGAAAGAACATGGGAAAAAGGCCTGAAATTAATGCTCAGATGAGGCRTGAGATAGGAGAAAGGATGGGTATCGATGCTCATATGAAGAACTRCACTCTTAAAAAATAAAAGTAATGTTGTATATTTATAGTGATCTTCATTTCCAGTCTCTATACACAGACAAAGATGACCAAGTGTTGAAGGTCAGAGCAGAGTTCAGAGTCCAGATCTTTTTAGGAAAGCAGAGCTCTTAGAATATATAGAATTACTCCTGAATATTCTAGATAGGGCATTGCAATGTTCAGATAAAAACTTACTGCATTTCTGAAACTTGGAAAATTATGAAATACAAGAATAAAATAATTTCTTCGGATTTGTATRTCCCACCTCTTTAAAMATACTTCTGTACAGAACACATAAAYAGCAAAAGSTACCTTAGCATATCCTTAGCATAAACTGAAAAAAATATCAGCACAGATATTAACATGTGCTTTGTAATAAAAAATATGTTCATTCTCATGAGGAAATATTACTTTAGCCTTTCTCATCTTCTAGATTTGACTGTGTTTGTAGTAACGATTTTCAAAAGAATTAACAAAATCTGAATTTAAAAAACAAACAAATCAAAACAATGGTTTCCTAGACAACACAGCCAGCAGAACCAGTAAGGATTCAGCAGAAACAGAACCTTCTATTTAAATTATAAGTATTGTTTGTAATCGTCTTCATTGGAACACATGGTACAAAGTGGGTACGAATTTTTGCAAATTTCATCTCCTTCACCTTTTAAAAATATTAATAACATTTAAAAAAATAGTTAGACAGACTATTTGTGTAGCAGGTCCTTCAGAAGACAAAATTCTGATGAGTGCAGGTTCTGCTTTCAGCCACACAAGGAGTGCACCTAAAACAATCTAAAAGAAGAGAAGCAACAGAATCTATTTAGGAAGTATTCTTGAAATTAAAAATTCATTAATTTAATTGGGGTTTATTTTGACAAAGAGATCACTAACTGATTTTCAATTCCACTTATTTAGGACCTATTGGAGAGGACTCCCTAGTAACTTAGGGAGTTTTAGGTTTTTAGGCTTTTTGTGAGAAAATAAAGTGACAAGTATCCTTTTTCAGCACATCTGATTTACGATATTCTAACAGAAAATTCCAGCTATTAGGATRATTTGCTAGGAGAGATCCGTATCAACTTAAGAACTCATGGAATGGTAAAAACCTCCTGAACCTCCTTCATTCAAAAAGGCTCAAAAAGCACTCCCCGAAGATTACAACTACTGTAAATAGAAAACAAAGTCCAAGAGACTCTAATCGTGTTAGATTTCTCGGTTTCTCTGATGTTTCAAGATTTCACCAGAATTCCAGGACAGTTATTACCACTGAATTAGAAACTTTTACCATAACATTTTACCATGATCAGGAGAGAATTGTTTCAATAGCATTAGCKACTACTGCTATTTATGCTGGAAGTATCCTCTGTATAAAGGAGAATGCAAGTGAGTGAGGCAGAGATTACAAAAKGTAACTTATTTCAGTTTTACATGCAAAAATGCTATCCTAAGATGTGTAAGTCATGCATGCTATCCTGTACATMACTATTACTGTATACAGAGCCTCATGAATTTAGAAACAGTTGCTGTTATAAAATAAAAGGTGCTTTATATAGGGTTTTTTTTTTTAATTTTATTTCTTTCATTATCAGAAACAGCAGTAAAAGAATTCATTCCCTGAACATGATTCCTAATGTGATGCAATCTACCTATTAATATAAATATGCTGAAGACAGCTATAGTTTTTTTTTTCCTTAACCACAGGTTTTTCAGTTGTTTTTAGGAATTCTAAAATTTCATACATGCTTGATTCAACCCGTAATTTAAGGGTTTTTTTTTTTTTACTTATAAATAAATCAACTTAAACCCCACACTTACAAACCAAACACTCTTAGCTTTTAAATAAACAGTTGTGGATTTTAGCATTTAGGCATTGAGACTGGAAATCCCGAACTTAAGGAAATCAATACAAGGTGAATGTTAAAAYAACAAAATATATAAATTTGAGTTCATAACTCGCTGACTCTCATCATGTACTCCCCAGTAGACTGGTAGTAGATAATCAGACCTGTTATAGCATTCCAAGAAACTTGTAAATTAACTCTTGACAAAAGTTTCAAGAAWATATATTTATTCAATTTTGGCAGTGGGAGAAAACATAATAAATGTAACAACTTTTTACATCCTTCTTTACAAGTTATTTTTATATCACATTTCAGCTAAAAAATTTCAGGTAGTATTTAAAATTTTTTWAAAATTCACTGAAAAAAGAACTTTTAATGTGAAAAAATACATAACAGTGCAAATGTTTTAATTTTTGTGGCTAGTTCTTAATTTTCAAGTGCTTTAGAACAGTGCAAGTTATATTTTAGATCACTAACACTGTGAACATCCAATTAATACACAGAATTAATACACAGAATTATGTCAAGTGAATAATACAGACTGTAATTTTGCACGATATAACATCAATTCTCCTCTCAAATAACACTGAAAAAGATTTTTCCAAATTTCTGTAATGATGACAACAGAAGCTTTTTACAAATCCCACACTCACGTCCCCAGCTGAAGAAAAATGAATTTAAGCGAAACCTCCTCAAAACAAGACATCCAACAGGCACATACAGCTCCTGTTCTSACATGTTTATAYAGGTCTCTGGAGTGCAACTGATACYTTCTCAGCAGAAGCAGATGCAAGTCCATTGGGATTTTTATTTTCATGAACAGGAACTGGGGCAGCAATCCCTGAGATGCTGTAGGTTGCCTGTAGCTGTGTTTTGACAGCCATCATGTTTTGCTAATTTTCTGTGAGCTGTCTACTCAAACCAGTTTTCTTTCAATAAAAAGCGTACAGCATCATCAAAGCCATTTTGGTACAATGATTCCATTTTCTCCTGGTCTGGTGGGAACAAAGCTTGATTAAGTCTTATTAGGTTGGCCAGAGACAGCTGCAACAGAGAAAGAAGCTGTAAATTAGTTTATGAAAGCAACTCATCTAGATGTGACTGTTCTGTCATCTGATTCATGGAGCATATGTAAAATGAAAAGACCAGCAGAGCTGTGTCTACACCAGGAATTAACCACATCCAGGGTCACTGCTGAGCGCCAGGACAAACTGGCACAAACAGTCCACACACACAGAATTAAACTCACAGCATCCAAGGCAGACTGTCTGCCTGTAACACTGCCCAAAGTTTCTGAAACACTTCAACTTTGGAAACACTCCCAAAACTGTCTGGCAGAGTGGTAGCTGGCACATGTTAAACTTGTGCAAGGAAATATTTTGACAACTTACTAGTGCAAACAACCACATTCTTGGGAACATTCCCAGGCAATGTTTAACATATGAGTATAAATGTAGCTTGTACTACCAACAAATTAAGAACTACTCAGCATCTT